AAAAAAAAAAAAAAAAGGTAAAGACAGAAATAAAAAAAATAAAAAATGTAAAAAATTGGTGGTCAAAAAAAAGAAAAAAAAAGTTGCTATTTATCGGTGGAAATTTGTTGGCTATAAACATCGATTTATCGTTTTTATTGCTGCTGCTGTTTTTGATGATAATCATCGACGATGGTGGTGACAATGACAGTGATTATTATATTAGTTGATAACGGTGATGGCGAACGAGGAATAGCAAACTGTGATATATATTCTAAACGCTGTTGTGGACAGCTGAAAAATAGAACAGAAGAAGAAAGAAAAGAAAGTTTTTACAGAATACGATGTAATTAGTTTCAAATCTTTTCCATTTTTTTTTGCTGTTCTGTTTTGACCCTATCAAATAAACTATTGGAAAAAGGGAAAAAGTGCTTATATTTGCAATGATAGTTGTAATCTTTAAAAGCATAGAACTCTCATTGTCGTCATTATTGTAAAGGTTGTTGTTTGAAAACATAAGAAAGACAAACAAAAGAAAAACAGCATTAAGAGTTGTTGCAAATAGGTAAACTGTTGCAGTTTGTCAATTTTTTGCTAACTTCTATCCTTGTTCTGTTCTATTTTTGCTTCTGTTTCGTCTTTATTAAGAACTGAACACAACTGATGTAATAATAAATAAGCACATAGAAACAAAAACAACAAAAAAAAAAGTGACATAAAAGTACACTGTAACTATTGAGACACTTTTACAACATTTTACAGTGTTAAAAAGCTAAAAATTTATTTAGAGCACAAAAAAAGGAGAAAATTGTTGAAGAAATGATCAAAAAATAGATTACAGCCAATTGTTCTCCACAAAATCACTGCTTTGAAAAGTAGCATAGATTTTTTTTTAGAAAGGAACAAAAAGAGAAGGAGAGACAAGAACAACTAGTCCTAATTTTTGATGGTTTACTAATTTTAGAGTAAAATTCACTCTTTATTTATTTCATCTCTGCCATTTTTTTGTCTACATTAATTTAAATTTAACATTAGTGTGAAAAAAAAGAAAATATTATCTTCAGTATTCTGTAGACTATTATTTGCGGGTATTCAGCTGTAGATGGTTTTGTCCAAGACAGCAGCAATACTGTATAAAACTGAAAAAGTTTAATTAGGTTTTATTTCTGATTATTTTCCATTTGATATTTAAATCAATTTATTCGTTGTTTTATAAACAAAAGAAACAAAAGTTTATTAAAAAATAAGAATCAAAACAAAACAAAAAAAAAAAACTTGCACAATTAATAGATAAAACAAATAAACAAGAAAGAAGGAAAAAATTATGCAATTTTATACAACAGCTAAACAATTTTCTTATACCCGGAAACTTCAACGATATCCTGAAATTTTTTCTTTTATATAAGCAACAACACTGTGGTTGTGGTATATGTGTCCGTAAACAGTAAAGAAGAACTGATTTCAGTTTTGCACTGCTACAATTGAAAAATATATACAGTAAAATTGACATTAAGTCATTGAAAATGCACATAAAAATACAACAAAAAACTGAAATATGAACACTTTATAATAAATAGAGAAGAATATAAGAAAAAATAAATAAAAATACATGTCAGGTACTCAAACAATTAAATCAACCTTTTATTACCTATCACTCAACTGATTTCAACCTTATAGAAATACTTACTTAAACAACAAATCTTTTTTTGGCTAAAACACCAAAATTGTTCTTTTTTTTCCTTACTCTGTTTGCGTGAATTTCATAAATTTTTAACATAACTGCCATCTCGACAAATGTACTGGAAAATTCAATTCAATGCTAAAAAAAAATTGTCGACTTAGTAATCCTATACAAAAAAATACTTCTTTTTACATTTCTTTGAAATATAGCTGTCATCTACCTACAAATAAAATATGACTGCTTAAGCATATGCAGAAAATCGTTTAAAAATATCGTTTTTTTATTTTTTTTTCGCTTTTTTTTTTCTTTTTTTACGTAACCCTATGTTATAATCACTGCTTATTTGAGAACAGCTGAAAGACTCAAATTGTTGAGATAAGTTCAACATACATCTATAACTATTATTAATAATTTTTAAGCACAAAGATGTCTTTTCTCAGGAAAAACTGTGTCTGAAAAACATTCAGTCACAATTTCAGCCAAAAAAAATAATTGATAGCAGTCTTTAGTGTCGTCGTAAGATGACGTCTACGGTTTGGGTAAGGGGGCTAGTAGAAAGTGATATTAATCCCATTCAAGCTCTACAACATTAGACCTCAGTTCTTCCAGTAGACGATTCCCGTAATCGCTTGGGCACTTTATTAATTTCCAATGTGTTTGGCAGAGATACTGCCTACATCCTGTAAAATTTTTTAAATTACTCTATTTTCGTTGACTAATTATTGTTGCTTGATAACTGTATTTCGAATTCAATTTACGTCAAAATTTTTCAGTATCTTATAATTCATTTGTGCATAAATGAATTAATAGAAAAATGCTGTTTGTAAGCAGATAAGAGCAAATTTACCTTCGCAATACGCTGCATCAGTAATTTTTTTACACAAATCACAAGTTGACCGCCTGTACTGAGTTTTATTACGTTCCATTTTGAACAGATGATTGTTCATAGTTTCAATTTCTTTCAACTGTGTTAAATTGATGTTTGTTCCAATAACAGCACCATACATCTAAATTAAAATCAAAAAGAAGAATTTGAACTTTATTATGCTGTTGTTATTAAACTTGTTAACACTTACCTGTGATGGTAAGAGTCGACTAAGTTTTAACCGATTGAATGTAGTCTTCTCTTCAGATGCTAATCTTAAGATTAATTTAACCATAACTTCGCGTTTCAGATGAAATTCATGTGCAGCTATCAACAACGTCAACACTTGATCCGGTTTTAAGCGACTGAAAAAAAGAAACAGAAAAAATAAGACGACTAAATCCTATGCCATAAGAAGTAAAGATATATCGATAAACATATTCACTGAAAGGCTAAAGTAAAAATAGGAAACGTTTTTTTTACTTTGTGTTTGTTTTTTCTTTTTCCTCAGTTTATTTCTTTTTTTTTGTTGATCTTAAAAAATTTGACATTTTTCTTTTTTAACTAAAGTTCATCTCAGTTTTTTTTTTAAGTCAAACTCTGCACAACAAAAAAGTATAAGAAAGGACATTTAGTAAAATAAGCTAATAATTAAAAGAGTTAGAGGAAGATGTTGAAAAAGCTAACTTTAAATCACATCTGTCTGTAATAAACTGCCCACATGCATCCGTCAACGAGTCAACCTGATACTTGTTGGCAAGACGAAGTATTGTTGGGAAATTTTTGGCTATAAATTTCA